AAAGGAAAGAAGGGAAAGGAAAAATGATGAGAAATGGAAAAAATGGCAATAAAGTCTTTGTAAATAGGGAAGGGTGGAAGGGGTGAAGGGAGGGCTAGGAATGGGGAAAAAATAAGAATCAAGATGCATCATGTAAAGGTACAAGATCCCAATTAATGTGTTGTATACCTAAAATGTACCAATAAAATAATTTAAGAAAATAAAAAGATTAGACAATGTGTGGAATAAATTTTACACTTTCAGAGAATGAACTAGAAAACACCTCCACTTTTTGGCATTCTGCAAATCAAAGGCCTGGTCCCTGTGTCAGCACTAGTAGTGTGTTTTCCTCCTAAGGTCCAAAGTCCAACTCTGTTGCAACAAGGCAACCTAAGCAAGAATGATCTGCAGGTGATATGTAAGTGACAAACATCTTACAGAAAAGATAGAAGAACATATATTGTTTTTCTTTCCTATTTTAGTAACACTCTTGGCAACATGTTTATCCATTTTGTAAAAAGGACATAGTAAGTATTGTGGAAAACACATTTATATACCTTTGAAGACCCTAATAATCATGGCAGTTATCAGTGGCCCCAAAAGGCTTCGGCACCAAATCATGTGGCTTCAGAAATACAGTAATAAATCTGTGGTTGAATCTTTCTAGAAGAAATGCAAACTACAAATCAATTGGCCTCAGATAATTCATTTATTTAATTTATCATTTGGACTTACGAAGAGATTCAATTAATTGAAAAATGCAAAAATTGGCACTTGCTGTGCTGGATGGGTTTTCACTGAGAATATTCCATTCCTGAAACCAGTGACTCACATCTTTCTGTGCATCAGCCGCTTGAACCAAGCTTTCTCCATCCCTCAAAGTCAAGGGCTTAACCCCATCAGCGCTAAGGGAATTCCTCACCTGCATGCAGTTGTTGAGCCTGTTCCCTTAGGGAGGCCCTTCAGGCTGAACGGCCTGGCTTGGAATACACCCATTTCATCACCAAAGGCCAACTGAGTTTAAAGAGAGTTTCCAGAGCCTTTGCTGGGAGCATCAGGCCCTGGGCCATGCAAGCTAGCATGAGCTGGAGCTCAGAACTCCTACAAGAGTGGTTCTACTCTCTCCTTGCTTAGCACAGCTTGGGCTGTAGGTATCGCTCTTGGCTTTCCAGACTGTTGAAATGATCAGTAAAATCAATACACAGGGAGGAAGGAGAAGACAGTCTGCCTAATGGATTCATTGTATTTTTTCAAATACCCCAAGGCAGGAAGAACTGTGTCTAGTAATTTTCTCTTTGTGGGGGAAGAGGGGAAATTTAGCTAAAATCTTGTGGGAGAAACTTTACAAACTAGCAAATCTCCTTCTCATTTAAAAAAAAATTTTGTAGTGCTGATTATCAAACTCAGGGCCTTGAGCATGCTAAGCACACACCCTACTGCCACTCTGGACTACCAGGTCCAAATCTCTTTTTGAAAAAAAGTACCGTTCCTTATTTTCAACTAATAGAAAAATATAAGCAATGTTTTCTGTGAAACTGTCTAAGATCAGCCATAGTGTGTATTTATATGAATTACTCGGGTTAAATTTTTGCCAAAGGTAAACTACCTTGTGTATTTCATCCAGTGGCCAAATGGACCCTACGGCTTCACATATTCTAGACTGTGAGCTGATGGTTTAAAAGACAAAGCAGGCTAAGGTAGAGGGCTGACACACACATGTACCTTGCCTCCTTCCTACAACTGGGAATGTGGCAGAATGGGCTGTAAAATGCAATAACTGGGAGAGCAGAGGTTGAGAGGGACCCAGTCAAAGGTCAGATTTTGATGAACACTGGGAGGAGGAAAGTGGATATGGTGACAATGCCGAATTCCCATAGCAGTCAGCTAAAGCTTTGAAGGTGCAAAGGAGAAAACTGCCTAGAGACAGAGTCTGTGTCTTGGTCCCCTTAGAGAAGAGGGATTGAAGGTAGACTTTGGCCCCAGTGGGCAGTCACTCCCTAGTGCCAGCTATGATTATTACCAAATCAGGATGGCTGCCCTCTAAAGACATGGCATGGCGGGGGTGGGTGGCCTAGGGTTAGGCCCCCAAGTGGTGTTGCGGTCCCATTCCAGGGAAGCATCTTCTGTTTGGGGGCTTTGTGGGGAGTGGGAAGAAGTTGCTGTTTCCTGCCTATCTCCCTGAAAGTTGAGCTTTCTGGCTGACCTTCCCTGTTCATGGACCTGTCCTTACCATTCCAGAGGAGGAGTTTGGGGAGAGAAGGGTTGCACAAATGCCAGGGTGCCCATGACACACACCTCAGATCAGTCAGCCTGGTTTCATCCATAAACAAAGACAACCAAGACAACTTTGAGGAAAGTCAACAGATTCCATAAGAACCTAGACAAGCAAACCCAGGACGCTTCCAAGGGAAAGGAGAGAACTGAAGAAGCAGAAGTCTCAGTGCTGCATGAGGGAATTGTTTCAGTGGAAGAACAGGTTGGCCTAAGAAAAGGAGTGGAGAGCAGGAGCCACCGAAGAGCAGGTAGGATAAGACTGAGAGCTGAAATTCAATGTGATCTTGGGTGTCTCCTGGGGCTGCAGAAAAGACCATCTGCTCAGTTTTTACACTCAGAGATCCTCTGCTGAGAGACAGATTTAGTACCAGTGGATTACTGTTATGTGTCCAACTGCACTACTTAGTTCTGCAAGGACTAACATTTATATAATTACAATATTGAAAATGCTGTTTTTCAGTTTGCAAATTTTTAGAATCAACTTCTGGCAGAATGCCAAAGACCTCATTAATTTACAAGACAGAATGCAAACATTATGACATGGGTATTGTGGTAAGAACAGTGGGGTGGAGAGTAGTCAGGCAAGGTGAGAGAGGACAGTGTGTGAAGGGATAACAAGATCCTCTCACCACATGGTCTGTTAAGGGAGAAAGAAATAACAAAGCTTTTATTTCCTTTATGGAAAGCAAAGAAGCAGAAAAACTATGTTTACAGAAGACAGATCTTGGGGAGATGTGGAGAGAAGAGGTCCTGTAAGTCAGACAATTTTCTCTTGTTTTCATAAGGGAGACTTGGCAGATACTAAGTAAATTAATAAATCAAGGGCTCAGGAGTTTGGGTGTGGTTCAGTGGTGGACTACTTGCCTAGCATGCATGAGGCCCTGGGTCCTAATCCCAGCACTATAATAACAAAACAAAACAGAACAGGGCCAGGGATTTAGTTCCGTGGCACCGAGCCTGCCTCGTCAGTGCAAGGTCCTGAGTTTGATCCCGTTACTGCAAAAAAAAAATACCCCCCAAAACACATATTATCTGGAATTATGAATGTAACCATCTAAAGACTGTTGAAAAAATCGCAGTGACTCTGGAGAGTGGGATGGACCACCTCACCTCCTGGATGGTAAGGGTTTGATTTTTCACATAGTATTATTCTGTAGCTCAGGAGTCAGCAAACCCTAGCCAGTAAGTTGGCTGTTGGTTTTTATATAGTTGGCTGTTGGTTTTTACAAAATTTTATTGAAACAGAGTCACATTCATTGTGTTATGGATCCTGATTTTGTATTAATAAAGCAGAGTTGAGTCATTCTGACAAAGATACATGGTCCACAAGCTTAAAATATTTATGATCTGGCTTTTTTTTTAAAAGAAAAAAGAAAACTGAAGAGGAGGAAAAGTCTAAAACTTCTCACTTTTCTGACCTGGTTTTCAAACTACTGTAAATTTGAACCCTACATTAACAAATCCTCCATAGAACTTCTTTTTATTCTTAAACTAGCTCAAACCACTGTGTATTTGATCCTAGAATTGGATTATTCACCATGGAAGCCGTGAGAAGATGCTGAAACAGAGAAGATGGTTCACCATCTGCTTAATTTTTCCCATGAAAGAGCCGAGCTTTCCAGAAGGATTTCAGAAAGTCAGTTTTGTTTTATTTCTCATGACAACCTTGTAAAAAGTCTTTTTATTCAAAGGCAATGCAAATAAGAGGAACCCAAGAAAACAGGGATCATAAATAGGATGCCATTGCCTAACAATCAAATAATAAATCGTGTTAGCATTAATTAGATTAAAGAGGTAAAGACAAGAATACTTCTGGGACAAAAACGGAGCCCACAGGGCTAACAACTTCTTGACTGACATTTGTTGCTCTCTGAAAACAGCCCACTGGACCACGATGTGAAGTGATAATGAAGACATAAAGGTTAAGGCTACTGTCCTGAGGCATTAACTCTATCAGATCCCTCCTTTTGTTTAACAAAGACATTTTTCCAGTGGATGGGTTTTGACACATACAACAAGAAAAACTAGAAATCTGACACAGGTTTGTTTATTTTTTGAGGAAGGACATTGTGTTAACTAAAATGCCAATGCAGACTCCCTGTTTCAGCTTGGAAAAGTAGACAGCTTGAAAGAGAGTTGCTCTCACCTTTAGAATTACAAAAAAAAAAAAAAAAAAGACAAATTACAAAAAGTGACTGATTTCGCACTTATCAGAGAACTGAGGTTGCAAGGTCAAACAGAACCTGAGTACTTGTTTATGGAGGACAATGGCTACTGAATTGCATGAGTCCATCAGAAAGATTTAGTTAGAAATTTCTGACAACTCACTAAAAGCTGAATGTGGGCTAATGGAACAGTATTGTGTCCTTTCCTGCAGGATTCCCCTTAGGATTTGCACCAGGCACCCACACCAAGATTGGGAAAGAATCTCAAGAAGGCTTTCCCACGGTATGGCTGGGACAGAAGGAGCAGCCACTGCCCAAATTGGTCAGATACACATTCTCCATCTTCCCTGTAGGACAAACCCTTAATGAAGGGGACAAAAACTGTGGACTGAGATCACTGGTAAGAAGCTGCTGTAGCTGGAGGAGAACAGCTAACAAAGCTATCTCTGGGAAGGAACAGAGATGTTTGTGAAGTTCACACATCTGAGACATTCAGGTTCACAGTGCTTGCTTAAGTCTGAGGCTTAACCAGAAAATCAGAGAATGCCCCGTCTATCCCCTTTCTCTATGCAGCAAGCAAGCTTGCTGCAGAAATAACTGTGAAATGCAGCCAGGAGAGCTACAAGACAGATTCTCTCTGGGGAGTACCAGAAAGACCCAAGGCCAAATGAAAAGCACATACCCAGAAATATCATCTGGAAAATTAGCCCTCACCATAAAAGCACAGTAACTAATGGAACATAAAGCCTGTTGAAGGTGACTACACCAACGATAAACATCAAATCAGCCAGATTTCTGATTAGATTAACACAATTTCTCACACTAAGCGCCTAGAAGAAGAAAAGACAGGTTCATCTCCAAACATTAGGAAAAAAACCCATTTACTTTAATATATATTGTTCTACTCAATAGCTCCAGCTTTCAACTACAACAAAAGAATTATACCACACATGAAAAGGCAAGAAAAACAGTCTAATGAGATAAAACCATAATTGGAACCAGACTCATATATGATACAGACTTATGTGGGCACTATCAGATAATGGCTTTGGTTAATACGTTGAAAGACCTAAAGGAAAAGGTAGACAGCATATAAGGCCAGATATGTTATTTCAGTATAGAAATGGAGACCATTAGAAAGAATCAAATGGAATTGCTAGAAACACAACACAGTAACAGAGAGGGAAAGTGCCTTTAACGGGCTCATCAGTACGACTGACAGAGCTGAGTAAAAAAATCAGTGAACGTAATGATAGGAAGAGAAAATATACAAAATGAAATACAAAAAGAAAAACATTCAAAACAGTACAGGCTACTCAAGAGTTACAGGACAATATCAGAAATAGCAGACAGTCTAACAGAAGCATAATTGGAGTTCCAGAAGGATGAGAAAATGAGCAAAAGAAGGATTTTAGGATAAATGCTGAGAATTCTCCAAAATTAGTGACAGACACAAAATCACACACTGAAGAACAGGGTAAATACAGAGCCAAATAAACAAACACATCTAGATGTATTACATACAAACTTCTACAAATTAATGATAAAGTGAAAATATTGAAGGCATTAAGAGAAAATAGGCATTATTTACAGAGGAACAATGATGAGAATTACAGCAGAAGAGACGTTGGTCAGAAATCATGCAACCAGGAAGACAGTGGATTAACATTTTTAAAATCCTGAATGAAAAAAAAGGCTAGCAATCCAAAGTTCTATACTTATTTAGAATATCCATCTGCATGCCTCTAATCCCAGCTACTCAGGAGGCAGAGGCAGGAGGATCACTTGAGTCTGTGTGAGGTCAGCCTGGACAACATAGCAAGACCTTGTTACTTAAACCCACAGAAGACTGTAAAAGAGATAAGAAGTATAAAATACAAATGGAACAAATAGAAAAGAGCTAGTAAAGTGGCAAATTTTAACCCAACTGTATTAATAATCATTTAAAATGAGAATGGTCTAAACACGTAAATGATTGAGACTGAATACAAAAGATGCTTCAAATATATGCTGTTTATGATAAACTCACTTTAAATATAAAGACATACATAGATTAAAAAGATAAATACAAATGTCCAAGTATTCCTTATCTGAAATGGTTGGGATAGAAGCGTTTGGATTTTGGATTCTTTTGTTTTTTCTTCAGATTTTGCAATTTTTGAATATACATAATGCTGTATCTTGGGGATAGGAGTTAGGTCCAAACATGAAATTCACCTATGTTTCATATATTCCTTACACACATATCCTGAAGGTAATTTTGCACAACATTTTTAATAATTCTGCATATTAAAGAATTTGTGTACATTTGACCCCCAGAGGTCAGGTGTGGAATTTTCCACTCGAAAAGTTTCAGATTTTGAAGTACTTTGGATTTCAGAATGCCCAACATGTACCATGAAAACAGTAATCAAAAGAAAAGCCAGAGTAGCTATCTTAGTTTTAAAGTAAACTTCAGAGCATGGATGATTATGAGGACAAAGATATTACTTAGTGATAAAGAGGTCAGTTTCCCAAGAAGACAGGACAACCCTATGTGACTGTACCTAACAACAGAGACTTCAAAATACACAATGTGAAACTGACAGATTTGAAGGGAGAAAGGGCTAAATCTACAATGATAGTTGGAGAGTTCAACAATGTTCTTCCGAAGCCAATAGAACAAGCAGGGAGAAAAAAATCAATGAAGCACAAAGGACCCAACAACTCTGTCCAATCATTTGGTTTAATTGACTCTGACAGACCATTCCACCCAACAACAGCCCTTCCAGGTGCACATGGAATATCCACCAAGAACAGGCGCCATGAAACGCCAATGTACAGGCTGTATTCCACATATCAGGTAATTCTGGTCTGACTTGCATCAGAATAATAGTCTTCATAGTTCAACAAAACTCCCTCCCTACCTCCTCCCTTCCATCTTCCCTGCCCCTCCACTCCCACTGAGATACTTTGGTCTGCATTCTGACAAGCAGGGAACGAATGAGAGCAGGGTGTGTGTGTGACAGAAGTGGTGTTTTGTTATAGACTGGCCCACATGGAATTGTTCTGGTACCTAAATACCTTGTTTATTCATCCATTCAATAGGCATTAACTGAGTGCCTACTTTGTAACAGGTGCACCACTATGCCCACTGCTGATGGTGACACGGAGTAACAGATGGCACTGCCAGGGCTACAGGTGCCTCGGAATGGAGCCTTTTGAAGACTAAGCCAAGGCAGTGGCCTGAAAACTACTCAGTGATACAGAAACCGAAGTTATTGGAAATTGGGGGGAGGGAATTTAAAAAAACAGTGATTATCTTTTAATAAATGACTGTCTTCCAGAAGTATTAAAGCTTTTGCTCACAGACGCAACCTGGCCTATTTGTGGCTCAACACAAAAGCTCAGAGTTGGTGAGCCCCAAGAGGTCACCCCCCAGCGCAGCCCAGACCCAGAGAGACAACCCCAGCTCTAAATGTTGACCACACTAGACTTGTGTGTGATCTGCTCAGGCTGCCATCACAAAGTGCCCCAGACTGGGTGACTAATGCAACAGGAATTTATTTTCTCTTAACTCTGGAAGCTAGAAGTTAGAAATAAAAGCAATTAGTAATGTTGGTTTCTTCTGAGTAGGCAGATGGCCACCTTCTCCCCGAGTGTCTCAGGACACCGGGCATCCTGGATTAGGACCCACCTTAGTGATTCCATTTTTAATGAATGACCCCTTTCACGGCTCTGTCTCCAAATCCAGTTGCATATTGAGGTACTTGGAGGTAGGACTTCAACATGCAAATTTGGGGGGACACAATTCAGCCTGACAGTTTGAAAGCCCAGCACCCTATGGGGAGAGATCATAAAGAGAAGAGAGCTCTGTCCACCTGTTATGGCCAGTGCTCAGGTATCCACTAGATGTGGTCTGTACAGGCCATGTTGCTAGAACCCACTTATCAGGACTCTAGATGACCCAAGACATATCTATCTTTAGTCACTTCCAGGAAAGCCAGCTCCCTACTTGGCCACATTGAATTTAGTGCCCAGCCCCGTCTCCTGTGTGAACTCTTCCTTTGGTGGGAGTATTTCAGCACTGAGAGTGAGTGGTGCTCTGAGAAGACAGGACTACCAGAAGCTGAGGCTCCTGAGGGCTCAAGAATGCCCTAACTCAGCATACCTGTGGGGTGTTCAACTCTGCTCTGGTCACAATGGGAGCCTGGGCAGCCCACCTGTGGAGCATTTGACCGTCATAGATGAGATGGTAGATCAGGTGTTTGGGGTGAATCATAATGAACACAATCTGATAATTTCCCTCTGTCCCTTCCTTGGGAAGAAAGATTGAGATACTAAATGTAAAAGCTTCTGCTTCTGAAAGTTTGGTTTATTTTATCTAAAGGACTCCCCAGTGATCTGCTTCTAGCTTTCTTTGTCTCAACAGAAAATTTTACATTTTCCTAAATTTGATACCAGAATTCTCATCCCCATGGGGGAATCTTTCAGGAACAACTTGATTTTCTTTAGCTAGTGAGCCATAAGTGAAACTTCTATTTTTCTGCAACTGTAATAGCAATTGTCAAACTAGGTTCTCAGAAGGGAGGACCATGAAGGTTACAAGGTCTCTGGGCTCCCTGCAAATACTGAAGGGTGCTCAGGAGAGGTTAATAAGCAAGCTCCTGAAGCACACACCCAAGCAGCCTGCTTGTAATAATCTTCTGAGCATCACAGATATAACGCCCCTTTATTTCCATGGTAATAAGGATAATTTCCCAATGGAGAAGGCATGAAAGAAGCTGGACATAAAAAGCAAATATCTACCATTGCCTGAACCCCTGTGCATTACTCAAAATACATGGATCCAGCTTCCATTATTTCTGCTATTTGGGCCTAAAATGCCTCCACACTACAGATTATTTTCATCTACCAAGGAATAAATAAATATGTCCCTCCACATGGGAGATAAACAGAACCAACTGTAAGTCCCAGGGGTGGGTTGTACCCTCTTCCTGTCAAGTATATCTGTAGAGGGGAAGCTGTAGAGAGGAAGCTGGAGGCCCCATCTTGTGACTTGTGGGGTTCTGTGCGGTCCTAAGAAGCTTTCAAAGCACACTAGACAATGACATGCTGCACGAAAGCCTGTTAGGATTAATATCTCGATGACTGCTTCTTGGTAATCCAGAGTTTGCAGAGCATTATGTGAAATGTTCCTGCCACAGGATGCTGCACATTATAGAGTTCTAGATACAGATAGGTCCAGGCTGGGGAGCCTTTCAGGACCAACATCTTGGAAGGGCAAAGACACATCCAGCATCCTAGAGTGATGCTCGTCCTCCCTCAGCTTGCTCACCTTGGGTGTGAGAGGCTCACTCCTGACTCAGCATCCTATCCCACAATGGACAACTCTGGTTGTTTAAACACTTGTTCCTTTATTCTTCTTTTGAACTTTCATTTTACAGTTCTGGCTTGTTTTCTGTGGAGTGACAAAGAATAAATCACTTCCTTTTTCAAACGTCTTTTGAGGATACCTCTCCTGCTTCCCTCCCACGTCTCTGAGCCATTATCTCCCTCCCTTTTCTGTCTCTCCCATGGAAGTCTTCCTTGCTTGGCATCCTGGCAGTCATCCTTTGAACCTTCTCTAGAAAGTCAGGGCCTTGTATATGGGGTGCACATCATTTCTGCCCACATTCCACCAGCCAGAACTCACTTGGGTGCCACACATAGGTAGTGTGTGTGCTGAAGGGGAAGGAGTGGGAGTTGCACTCCCTGGCTGAGAATCTGCTTGCCAGAATAACAACACCACTTGTGAAGTGTTATGGCTTAAATATGAAGAAATCCCCAGCAGGCTCACTATGTTGAAGGCTTGGTTGGACCACTGGACTTTTGGTAAGTGATTGGATCTCGAGGGCTCTAACCTCATCAATGGTCTCATCCACTGATGAAGTCATGGCTCCATGGCTTACTGGGAAGTGGGGCCTAATTGAATGAGGTGAGTCCCTGGGGGTTCTCTCTGTGGTTCCTGGGTGCCCTAAGGTGGGCAGGTTTGTTCCACCATGCTCTTCTGCCATGATTTTTCTGCCTTGACATAGGCCTAAAGCAATGGAGCCAGCCAACCTTTCACTGAAACCTCTGAAACTGTGAGCCAAAATAAATCTTTCCTCCTTTAAGTTGTTTTTCTCAGGTATTTGTCAGAGCAATGAAAATCCGATTAACATACTAGAGGAACACAGGACTTTGACATATGTTCTAGCCATCCCTGCTTCTCAGCCCAAGACAGACTGCTGTTATGGACTACATGTGGGAAGTTTTGAAAAAATTCTCTCAGTACTGTGCTTAGGGCTATGTTCTAAACCTTAACTAAAATATTAACTTTAAAACAAGCAGGGACTTTTCAATTTCAGATCCAGAAAAAATATGAAAACCTGTTGCATTAGTTAGCTATTGATGTTTTACCCCCAAACCTCACTGGCTTAAAGTAATAACAAACATGACTTCACAGTTTCAGTGGGCCAGGATCTGGGAGCAGCCCGTCTGGGCAGTTTGGCTCAGGATCTCTCACGAGGCTGCAGTCAATGCATCAGCTGGGCTGCCATCTTCTGACAGCTCAAATGGGGCTGGAGATGCAATCCCAAGAAATTGCATTCACATGGCTGCTGAGTTGGTGCTAGGGGGTCTGAGTCATGTGAATGAGCCACTAATTAAAGACTAGGCTTGAAGGAGGTGGAGTTAATTTTATTCATCACAACTCTCCTCGGTGAGAAGACTCCTTTTGTTCAAATGAGCTCCCTTAAGCCTGAGGAGCCATAAATGAATGTGAATTGAAGGCAGTCCTGACATGCTTGAGACAATCAAAGGAAATCTGTCCTGCTGTGGGTGGCTGGTGCTATGGGACTAGGAAACCAGAAAGGGCTCTATACCCTAGGATGTGTCTCCTCCTTGTGATTCTACTTCTAAATACTTAATAGGCTTGTCCAAGACAAAGAGTATCAGGAATTCTGAAGACTGTTGAGGTGGCCCTGTGGTGAGGAAAGGCAGTAGCAACCACCAAGAATGCATGATTCCCAAGGGCAAAGTGGGTGTGAGAACAGAAGACCCATGAGACCTAGGGAAAGGATTGGACTTTCCTAAGCATAGAATCAACCAGCATCCAAGTGGATTTTATGAAGCTCTTCAAAGTGAAAGGGGAGGGCTGGGGATTTAGCTCAGTGGTTCTGCCACCTGCCTCGCAAGCACAAGGTCCCAAGTTCGATCGCCGGTACCAAGAAAACCAAACCAAACAAAGTGAAAGGGGACCCTGGGGGTACAGACACATACACACAGTAAATGTGTCATGGCTCTCAGAGTCTGTACACCCCACTAACATCCTATACCCTGCTCCCTGAATGAAAGCTCAGCATTGACACTCAAACCAAGGTAAGGAAAGTGGATCAGGATCCACATGTAGCAGGGCAAGCATATGAACAGGTTGTTGTTATAGTGGGTATTATGGCTTGTGTTTAGATGTCCCCCCAAACCTCGTGCTTTTTCAGAGGTGGCTGAATCTAGAGTGTGTGATTGATTCATGGTGGGGCTAGGCCCAAGGGCACTAGGATTAAGGGTTGAGTGCTACACACCCTAAATAGTCTGAATAAGATAAAAGGGGTTAGAAAGATGGTATTAAGTAAGGTTCCTTGTTGCTTTTGCTGCTTCCGCTGCCATGAACTGTTGCCCCTCTGCCATCCTGCCAGCCGATTGGAGCCAGGCGATTATGGACTGAAATGTCTATGAACTGTAAGCCAAATAAACCCTTTCCCCTTTAACTTTGGGTGGTGGGTATTTTGTCTCTGCAATGAGAGAAAAGTTACTAAGGCAGTGGGTAACTGATCACTTGTCAGCTGGACTGAAACTTGGGGCTCCAGTTTCCAGGAACAATAGCAGCCCGTGGCTGTATGCATTTCATCCTTGCCTGAATCTCTCTGGCAAGTAAGCCCTGCTTCCAAAAGCCCGGGCCAGCAGTTTTTCTCTTCTCTCCTTAAGTTTATTCCCATCCACCTGCGAACTTGCTCTTGTATGTCTGCTCTAACAAACAAATAAAATTGCTGCCCACACAACCCCTCCAGCTACTGCCATTTCTTCTGCCCTCTTCACACACCATTTCATGGAAGCTAGTCTTAGGTGGCACAGCAACAGGCTTAGATCTACTCTACCTGGCTTCTGCCCCCAATATTCCACTAGAAGGGCTCTTGTCAAGGTCAACTGAAGCTTCTGGGTGTGCAATGCCAATGGCCACTCCTATTCTCATCTGAGCTGATCCCATCCTAGACAGCTCATTATTCCTTTTTCCCTTCCAACATTTTTTTTTACCTTGCTCTTGTCAGCTTCTTTTCTTGCTTCCCTTCCCACAGATCCTTTCTCTGGAGCCCTCGTTGGAATAACTAGGATCGATCCTGGCAGCCTTCTCTTTCTTTTCCACACCCTGAATTCCTATTCCATTTAAATAGTGCTGATGCCCAACTTTACAACTTGATCTTGGTATTTCCATTTAGATGCTTAATGGGAAAACTGAAGATGAACTCCTTTCTGTGGGCTTTACTTTCTGGTCCCATTTCTGTAAATGATACCCTCATTCACCCGGGACCTTCTTTAAGAGAATGCAATTAATATGATCAATTTGGTTGGGAAAAAATTGTCCCAGGAATTTTTCAATAAGGGTAAACTCTATAAAGCTGTATAGTACTAAAAACTAGAAAAATAATTGTGATGAAGATGAAACATAAATAAAAGTAGCAGTCCTTAGGATACATAAAATCAAATTACAATATATAATGGCATTGTATGATTCTGACTCCAGCTGTACAAATTCCCACAGAAACTGGCTTGTTCAAAGGAACACACTGACACTGTTTTCAAAAAGTAAAAAGAGATTATATAACCGAGACACAAATTCTGAGATTCCAAATAAACACCTCTGCCTGGCTTCTCTACATTCTGCATTTGTGGTTCCTGGTAAACAATAACCCATAACCTGGTTTTCAATAAAAATGTGCAGATTAGGTGAATCAGATGCTAAATGACAACTTTTAAGAAATTTTATATTTTTACTATGTTGTATCACATACATGAAAAAAAAACCTGTTATCTTCTGTCTTCTAAAACTGAAGGGGGGTTGCTCAAAAAAATTGAAATTGCCTGACTAAACCATTTTGGAGTTTAAATGAGGTCTGTATGAAGAGGAACTTCATATACTGCCTTTAACCCCGTATTGCAGGATGTTCTCTGTGAGCAGAAATAACATTTGCATGCACAACCGAGGCATGTTTGAAACCTTTTATTAAACAGGCAATGCATTGTGCAAATGGTTAAGGACACAGATGCCAAGTGGAAAAGTTTAAAAATTATTTTTGGAAACAGTCTATGGGTTGACGAACCCTGCTATGTTCCTTCCTCTTCTTCTTAGAGTGGCTATCTTCAGGAAATCAGATTGTTGTGTAGCTGCTCTTAGAAATGCATCCCTGTTTCACCATAAATGTCATGCCTAGTAGTAACACAAAAGGAGAAGACAGGCAAGACCGCGGCCAGACACACAGGCTGATCTTCAGTGGAACCACAAACACGGGCGCTCCTGGGATAGCTTCGGTTTTGGGCTTTCAGGGTGTCTGATTTATAAATCCACATTTCATTTCTGTTTTCCGCCTTGTCTGAGCCTCTTTACCAAGGGAATTCTAAAAGACTCACATTCATGCCCCTGAGCACAGGAATTCATTCCTGGATTTTTTCAATGTGGTTTTTGTTTGGGGCCCCTCTGGTCCAGGATTATGGCTGTTTGTTCTCTTCATTTTGCTTGGTTCCTCTCTTCCCCGAGCTTGTCATAACTTGGTGATAAAATCAAGCTTAAGTTGCACAGTCTGTTTGCCGTGATTTATTGGCAGTTTTAAACTAAGTGGCCTGTCAAGGGAGTGGACATTCTTTGTCGGTGGGCTGCCAATTTATTTTATGATTTGAGGCATGTCGCTCCAAGCTTGAGATTTCTTTCTGGCGAGTTCCATCCAGGAGGGCTGATCTGCACTGGCATAACTGGCTCTCTTCAGCTGATGCAACTCCTTCTCTGCCATTGCCGCAGCCTGAGCTGCTGCAGGGGGGACAAGCAGAAACACGAGACAGGAGTGTGGATGTTCACGTAAGCCTCTTGCATTTCTCTAAACATGTGTCAAGGTCTTACCTGTGTTCCCCAACAGAAACTTCATTAGTATGTAAATGTGTCAAGGACACTTGGGCTGAGAATATGTAATTTATGTGATTAAAAAGGTTTAAGAGTAGCTTGAACAGTTCTAGCAGAGCATAGAGTAAGAAATAGAAAGGAACTGCAGGAATGTTGGGGGTAGGTTATGCAACAAGTGAATGAACTTAATACTACTCAAATGTCCACTTAAAATGGATAGAAAAGTAAATTCCTTGTTGTGTGCCTTTTAACCCAATGAAAAATAAATAAAAATTTTATAAGTATAAGGGTTGGGATATACCTCATTAGAAGAATAGATATGTAGATGCTTGAGTCCCTGATTTCAATACCCAGCAGCACCAGGAACAACAACAACAACAACAACAAAAACAAAACAAGAAAGGGCTGGGGATCTAGCAGAGCATGTGCTTAGCACGTCTGAGACCTTGGGCTCAATTGCAAGCACATTTAAAAAAAAATACTGATACATGCAACAAGAGATGAACCTCAAAAACACTGTGCTCAGCAAAAGAAGCTAGCCGTTAGAGAACAGATACGTTATGATTACATTTATAAGAAATATTCCAAAGGGCCGGGGATTTAGCTCAGTGGTTTCGCCACCTGCCTCAAAAGCAGAAGGTCCTGAGTTTGATCCCTGGTACCAGAAAAAAGAAAAAAAAAAGAGAAATGTTCCAAAAATGCAAATCTACAAAGACAGAAAGTAGACTAGTGGTTGCCTAGAGCTAGATGTGGGAATAGGGATTGATATCAAGTGGATGTGAGGTTTCTTCTGAGCGTGAGGGAAATGTTTTACACTTAGGTTGGCCATGAGTGTGACACACTTTGTAGATAAGACACTCATCATGACTACATCCTCACTGAATTACATGCTTACTTATGCAGGCTTTATGGTGTGTGAATTATATCTCAATAAACACTGCAGGAAAAACTCAATGTGGCAAGTAATTCAATAAAACAAACAACAAAAAACTCCAAACAATAACACCATAAAAAAGAGCCAGGTGTGGTGGTGCACACTAATCCCAGCACTTGGGGGGCTCAGGCAGGAGAACTGCCACAAGTTTGAGACCAGCCTGGTCTACATAAAGAGTTCAAGGCCAGCCCGAACTACACATAGTGAGACCCTGTCTCAAAAAACAAAACGAACCAAGACTACAGGAACCACCCAGGACCATGAGTCCACAGTGCTTGGTAACACAGGCCGATCTCATACCCAAGTTCTGATGTGATAGGGAGATTCCCCTTTGCAGCCCCTCCTTGAGGCTCAGTTTGGCTGCCTGCTTCTGGGTCACTGTGGGCTTAGTAGGGGTCATCAGGAAAGACTTGCTGCGGACAAAGTCAACCTGTCTCACAGGCTCCTGTGGGGACACAAGAAAGACACACACTGTCAACCACACAGACTTGGAGAGAGACAAATACAACCCAGGTGTGTGAGTCCCAAGGGGCCCCTCCCAAGATGACCTGTGCTGGTGGCACTTTCTGGGTGAGCTCTGGTGTGTCCCCTTGCTGACATCCAGCAGTAGAATGCTGAAATTCTGACCAGTACCCAGCTTGATCCCAGCCCATACAGGCATTGTGGTTTCCCTGTCCCCCAAATTCTGCCTTAGCCCCAGATGCTTAATGGCAGGGATTCCACGTGACAGTCAAAATTAACTGGGTTTGGAAATGGTTTTGTGACTTTTAGGACACTTGGCATGATCACACATGCTCTGAATGGATTAACACCTTATTTACAAATTTCCCAGCCTGCATATGAGTCTTCTGGTCTGGGTGCAACTGAGTTGTGGTTAAAAGGAGAGAAGCAGGTGTAGGCTCGGGCTTTTCTGACAGGGCTGAAACACTCTTCCGGACTTGGCACCTTATTACTGTGGCTACTAAGGGGACCGAAAAGCTGGAGATTGGCTTGCTTCTAGCTGTCTATGTTGGTGAAAGCTATTTACAGTGCAGAGGGCAAAAATGAACCCCAGCTTCCTGCCATGCATCCCCAGGGGAGGAATAAGGAGGCCCAGCAGGTGGCCAGCACAAAGGGCACAAGTGGGGCTCACTGATCACTGCACAGTGAGTTGAGAGGGAGCTGCCAGCATCGCTGCTATATGTCTGAGCAAGAAGTTATTTTAACCTCATTCCATTTTTCCAGATGCTGAGCTGCACTGCCTAGGAGGCAAGGAGTAGAGAACTGTCTCCACTAAACAATTCCATGCTTCTCTGTGTCCCTAACAAGCCTAGCAAAGAGCAGATAGGTGGCTCCTCTACGGAGCTTATCATTTGGCACAAAACTGTGTTTGCTTCACTGAGCTTAGCCACACACCAGCAGCCGCCACACACAGTCATCATGCGGACCCCAGCCCCAGCCCTGGCCTGGTCTGCTGTCCCTCCTGAACCCCCATAACTGCTAGTGTCTGGTCTTAGCACCTGGGCTCTCTCAGGTGCCTTGGCTTGCTTTCCTGTTTCTGACTTCAGGGTCCGAGTTCCAGGTTTGTCTTCCTGGCTCGGTGGCTGGTCAGGGCCCCCTCGCCGCTTCTGCCGAGCCATGGTGATCCAGGGTGGTGTGGGCTGCCCATCAGCTTCGGGACCTGTTGCTGCCACAGGCAGACCCTTCTCTGTGGGTAAAGGCAGAAGGTTATTCGAGCCAGCCCTGCCTCTCCAGCCTCCCCCTTTATTTCTGCCATACAGGGAACACTGCTCTGCTCTGGCTCACAGTGGCAGGGCAGGGGACAGGCAGTCTGGGGGCCTCTCCAGCGAGACCATTACTTTTCCTTAAGGGACTTTGTTTTCTTTCTAAAGATATATCAAAGGGATTATGTATCTCTAGTCTGCACCACAATGAAACACAATTGCCTGTCTAAAGTCAATGTGCATTTTAAAGCTAACTTCCTCCCAGGGAACCCTTTCTGGAAGGAGCTAAAAATACACACACAATAGGTAAGAATTTTGTAATAGAATCCCGTCATTGGGGACCAGCACACACTTCCCAACTTCTGATGTGCTCAGATGCTGAAGACACACTGTTGTCCTCATAACAAGGGCAAGCACAGCCTTCTCTCTGTGGAGAGTGGTACTGTTCACAATATCGTTTGGTTTTATTCCTCTTCCAGAGACCCCAGTAACTGCCTGGCACATGGAAGGTGCTTGGTGGCTGTGTGTTTGATGTAGTCTGCATTTCTCATCTCTTATTCGCTGCATGAGAGTTTTATAGCATCCTCATAGCCTCTGTTGTTTTTCCTTAAAAAGCAACTTTTTCCTGTTCTCCTTTGATTATTTCTTCATGCTCTGACCAATCACATCCTCTGAACTTACTACCTTAGTCAAGAACATATTCTGAGCAATTCTGTCAAGGCTAAGAGTAGAGGGAAAGAAATGTCCATCCCCAGTTTTATTTTATCCCCAGGGCCCTGCACATGCTAGGCAAGTGCTTGCTTGAGCACTGAGCTACAGCCCCATCCCTAACCCTGGTTTTAGACCGGGGGCAGAATGGTTGCTGCTGAATGCTAAAGCAGCTCCAGCACCTGACACAGAGCACAAGACATGGTTCTGTGATCTCATGCCAGACACTTAAGTCATTCCACCTGAGCCACAAGAAAAACTTTAAACATCAGCAGAGAGGGGTCCAGTCCCCAGGCCGACATCTCAGGGGATGGAGGCAATATAAACACACTCTTCCCATTTTCTCATGGGAAATGCAGTCTTGTAAACAACGCAAGGAGATGGAGCTCTCCTTATATCAAGAGCAGGCTGTACTGTATGTATGTGCATGTATTCCTATGTTCATATGCACACCCCCACAGTAAGCCCCACAGCTGCACCAGGCAGTGCCAGTGTGCGATAAGATGACCCAAAATACAAAATAGCAGTGTCACCAAGCACTGGGCCAGGCAGGCAGCCAAGATCTTTCACCAGCCATTTCTTTCCTTTTTTGGTCTCCCTTTCTTCCCCAAGTGTCGGCCTTTCCTTGTATTCTGTATCTTCTTCTTTCTCACCTTCTCCTTTGTCAGGAATGCAAATGGGTGAAGGGTCCCTGGTTCCCCCAGACCCTTTCACAGGGACATTCCTGGGGCCAGCCTCATGGGTAGAGAGAAGCAAGAGAGGTGCACAGGGGTCCAGACACCAAGAGGGACAGAGAAAACCCACTACTGTTTCCACCATGGTTCAGTGAGGACTGTGATCCCAACAGCAGCCTCACAACAGGTGACCCAAGAAGTGGGTGATGGGCTTGGCACTACCCACACTGCCAAGCTTCACAGAAGTCTCACCCTTGTCCCAGGTAGCCAGGGCCAGAGCTGGGTGACAAGTCATTCTACTCTGTGGAAATAGGCCTCAATGGCTCTGTGTGTGTGTGTGTGTGTGTGTGTGTGTGTGTGTGTGTGTGTGTGGTGATGGTATTGGGGATTGAATCCAGGGCCTTTACACAGAGCTACATCCATAGCCCTTTTTTACTTTGAGACAGAGTCTCACTAAGTTGCTACATTGCCCAGGCTGGGCTCAAAGTTGCCAATCTCCTGCCTCAGTCTCCTAGACTGGTAGGATCACAGATACATGCCGTCATGTCTGCTTTTGGAGGTCTCTTTGATGTGCTCCTCTAACCACTGCGCTTGGCACCCACTTTAGGGGTTGGGCTTCTGGGGTATATGCTATACTCAACCTGGAATTCTCTCAAGCTGGAGAAGAGAATAAAGACACAGGCAAATAAAGAAGGCTTCAAGGGCCAAAGTCCTTACAAAGTGATAGCTATAAAGCACAAACATTCAACGTGAAGGTTGCTTAATCTATTGAGGATTGGCTAAAGGGAACTGACCTCTCAATTTCTCCTCTCCAGATGACAAGGGGGTTAAGCTGTTAACTGTGAGCACTTCTCAGACTGGGGAGCGGCAATTCCATGTCCCCCATGCTAAATGTCTGGAAGTCTGACTCCCTACCCACAGCTGCCCCAGAAGGAAAAGCAGCAGGCTGGTCTGCTGGAGCACAAACACAGAGGTACACTTCCGGAAGGCAAATGCTGCTGGCGAGCACATCCAGAATGGAAATGCTGTAGACCCAGGAACCTGCACAGCAACAGAATGCACCCCACACAACTTAACTTCATGGGAAAAATACTTCTAATCAGAGAAAACTATTATTGCTCTTATTACTTGGTTATTTGAGAAGATTCTGTCAAAGGAATATTCTTCTCCAAATTCCTTTTGCTTCCTTAACACATTTCCCTAGCTCAAGGATTTATTTTGAAGAATATAATGTATAAGCATTAATTTCCAGAGATCCTGTCCTCAGGGTTGTGTTCAACTGGCTGTGATATCTAAGAAGGCTTCCTCCCTGGTTCCAGGCAACAGAGCAGCTAATGACTGGAGCTGGGGCCTCCAGGGCTGGGTTTAAGGCCTTAGGCTAGCAATGCACTCTGGGACAAACCTAAGAACCCCTGGAGGCTCAATTTTAGTGCAAAATGAAAAAAAAACAGCAGTATGTGTGCTTCCCAGCAAGACTACAAAGATTCCATGAGACAGTGCACCATCTACACCTGCCAGCCTGGCCAGAGAAGAATCCATGAGACAACCCACCATCTCCACCTCCCAGCGTAGCTGTGGAACAATCCTCAGAGAGTACTCAGTGTAGTGCTTGGCACCTACGTGCCTGTAAGAATGTCAGCTGCTGCCACTACGGCTGCTGTTGTTATTCTGTTGCTGGTGTTATCAGTTTTCCCATTTGAGGAAGGATGTACACTTTGGTCAAATCCAGACACGATGGAGACCAGTGAGCCATTGCGCCATGAAGTAAGACTTTTGTCCCCAGCTCTGATAAGAAAATGCATCAGTGCTGGCTTGTACTTCAGCCTCTTGACCCTTTGATCCCTGAGGACATTGTAATGCTCCTAGTATTACAGGCAGCTAAGTTAGATAAAAATTAATATACAGTCAGAGAGTGACTGGGCTCTCAAGAAAGTCAGCAGAAAAAATAAAGGCATCAGAGTTGTGGCTTCAGGTGCCTCTGAAGAAGGTTAGGCCCAAGATAAAGATGCAGTGGCCAACCCTACATGCTTCCCTAAAGGATAACAGTGACTTGAGGTTATATTGTTATTAGTACCACCTGGACCATTAAGTGCAGACAGGCATTAGATGCTCATGTGGGTGGGTGACCAGAGCATCTGGACCCATCCCTTCCCCAAAATGTTTCTGTTTTAGAAGTCATAGATAAGCCAAGGTTAATGGTGTCGGCAATATACTCTTGCTAGTACCTCCCTTCCGTTTTTGGTCAATATTAGCTAAGCAGCCCTACTTGTAATCTTATTATTGACGATGGTTTGATCCACACTGTACACACATTGTGACTTTACTGTATAAATTACCCCTGACAAAGGGCCTCAATGACTACGCACTCAGGACTCCTCCTGTCTCTCTGGAGCTATCTCTTAATAAGTCTTACTACTCTTAACCGATGTTCTTCCTTGGAATTCATTCTTCCATTTGGGGGGACATGAATTCAGCACATCTGACATCTAGTGGGTTGTGCGTTATATTTCTTCCCTATCACTAGCAGACTGCATCTTCCCGCTGTGTGTGTTTATCTGCCTGTCACCCCACAGGGGCAGTGGCCTCATCTTGTCATTTCTGCACTCACTGTGCCCAGCATGGACCAGCAGGGTCTCAAAGAGGCTGCCCTGCCCCCCAGGCCTGCTGCATTATGGAGGAGCCTGGCCATGGCCCCTGTGGGCCTCGAGTCCTGTTTCTGGAACAGTGCTCTGATCCTCGTGTGTAGACACTGCATGCCAGAGATCCTGCATGCTGTGGGCTCCAACACAGTGACACAAAGCCCAAGATAGCACCACAGTTTTCATCCCTATTCTCAGTAACCCTCCCCATGCCGCACTCTGACTCTGAATACCCCTGGGAAAGAAAACCTCCATTTCCTGACCCATGTTTGGCATTGTGACTGAGCTATCTGTATTTGAAAAGACCTAAAAAGAACCATTCCCCAGATCCTCAACATGAAACCATTTCTACACGGGAGAGATGCATTTCATCACTCCATTCTGACCCACTGATGGGTGGTGGTTATTTTTTTCTTTCTCCTTTACTTTATTCTTTTGGTACCTATCAAAATTCAACCTTAAGATGCCATTTTATTTAGAAAGACTCCTGCAGCGACCACCCGAGGTCCCGGGGTAAAACTCAAACAGTGGACCTCACCCCACGGGACAGCTGGGACTAGCTGAGTCTGGGAACTGCCAAGAACACTATCTTCTGAGTGGGAGGCAAAGAGTCTCACAATATAAACTCCTGTGGTCCTTGCCCTTTGGCTGAGAAAATAAAGCAGATACTCCACCCTAGGTAACACCCAGCAGGACAGCAGGGTTCCTGCACCTCTGGAACGTTTGGTATATCCTGTTTTTTGTGAAGCAGCAATTTTTAAGAATCTTCTGCCTTTCATAAAATTTCTTTCTTGTTTATAAAAGTGCACACACCCATTGTACAAATTTGGATGATAGATAGGAGTATAAAGATAGATGCCAGGTATGGAGGTGCACATCTAATTTCAGCACTGTGGGAAGCTGAAGGAGGAGGATCCAAGTTCAAGTACCACTTGGACTATTTAGTGAGACCCTGTATTTAAA